TCTCCATGGAATAGACAAGAAAAAGTAGCAAGTATTTATAAATTTTACATTAGTAAGTATTTATAAATTTTTATACATTATTCTTCAAATACTAAATGAATTTTAAACTTATTATAAAATTACATAAAAACAATCTTGTAATAGAAACTAAAGTGAAGCCATTAATTAACTATGTTGCAAGATATAACAAGCCAAACAAGAGGAGGAAAATCATTATAATGGACAAAATGTATACAAATGGTAGCGATGACTCTGCTAGTAACTTTATTCAGAGAAATCATAAACTTATTTACAATAGCATAAGCAAAAAATAAAAATTGACCTATTTCTTTTTCTTATATGGTGGCGATGACTCTGCTTGTAACTCTATTTGGGGCTATGACTATCAACGAAGAATTAATTCTTGAAGACGCGATCGAAGGTAAGCATGTAATGGTACTATCAGATTTCAAAATCTCTAAACATAAAAGTATAAAAACATATTTTATTACTAAAATTTTAATTAAGGACCATTAAACCTAAAATTCATCTTATATCTCTCTTAAAGTTGTAGGGGACGTATGCATATTATCGTAAATTGGATCAACAATATATATCATACTGAAAATATAATATAATAAAGAAATAAGAGAATGATAAGTAAACTAAGGAAACATCCATATAACATAATAAAGAAAAAAATGTTACATTTTAAAACTAATATGTGAGGCTCATTTAGAACAAGTTATCAAGATAAAAACATCTCCATTAATGCTCTTTATAAATACAATAAAAATTCAAACTACTAATATATGCAACCATCATAACATTCGAAAGAAGTATGATCTTACAAGACCTACTCTAAGATTCACATAATTAGACCTAACTATAGTTTTCTAATATACATGTATGCTATTGCACATTTAAAACAAAAATAACTACCTAGAGCTGAGTCGTTGTTCTATGCTTGTATAGGCTGCAACAAGAAGGAGGATAAAGGTGTTAATAACGAGTTTTCAAATGATAAATATCAAAAAATTATCAATGACTAGTACCAAGGTTAATATCCCTTCTTCATGAAATAAACATATTAAAAGCAAATATTAACATTATAATCCAATGCAAATTGACAATAAAAAATGTAGGTATTTATTTTAGATTCTCGTGAAAAATAATACAAACAGAGCACAAGTAACAATATTTAATGCATAAAAAACTAATACTGGATGCACAGTACAAGAATTCATTTCAGATAAAAAAGATGTAACTCCTAACTTTATTTAAGTAATAAATTCAAAACACAAAATTTTTAATATATATGAAATTAACATTTGTTCTTATTGAAACAGAAAAATAATCAAAGTCCATATTCCAGAAGTCAATGTTAAATATCAAAAATACATTCAACTTCCTTGTGAAGTTAGACGAGAAGATAAAAAATGAACGAGCTAAGGGGAAGATAACAACATAAAAAATCTAGCTCCAATCTGATGTTACAATCGATGTTGACAATGAAATCACTACTCTAAAATTGCCTAGGAAAAAGATAAAGATGGAGAATGATTGATCTCCGCTCAATAAAACAATAAAATATAAGAAATAAAAGATAATATTTTCTGAATATTTTTTCAGGTATTTTTTAGTTTTGCAACACTATACTTTCTCAGATCAAGCTTGGTTTCACGTCAGTTCAAATTACATGAAAATTCAAATTGGCTTCGAATTATATTTGTTGTGTCAGTTCAATTATCAACATAAAAATTTAAATTGAGTGTAGCCCACTCAGACAAATATTAAAAAATAAATAAGGCTAAACTTTAGAGACATAAGTGAGCAAAAACTACCAAAGTAGAACCGATGAATAAATTTTAGTAAGGAAATAAACTAAAAGTAATTAGTCATGATATTTAACCACGTGTATTGCACGTGCATAAATCCTATTTTATAAAAACGTAACAATGTTTGACCAGTAATGCTCTATGCTAACTCAATTGGTTTTCTTCAAAATATATTTTAGCTAAGTTATTTTTTTAAAATATTTTTAAATAAATTATCATTTGGAAATTCGTTGGAATAAGGTGTTTTAATGGGAAATTAGATCCCAAGATTTAAAGTTCCAAGAAATAATGTTTTTTTTTCATATCACTCCCGAACTTTGGAATAGTATCTCACAAAACTCTCTAAACTTTAAAAAATTTCAAGAAAATTTTCTAACATTTTTATCATCAATAACCTACACAATCAAAATAATGGTCGGAACAGCCACTAACTTGTTAGAAGGTTTCATGAATTTTGAAAGTTTAGAGGGATTTTGCATGGCTCCGAAAGTCCATGGTAGTATGGTGGGGGGAAAGTTCATGGGAATTTTCTGCCAAGCTTCCCAAAGTTCAGGGTGGTATTGTGAAATTTACCCTTTTTACTATTTTCTAAGCTTGTTTTTCATATTTCGAAAAGATGGGAAGATAGTAGAGGGGAGACGGCAGGTGGAGCTGCTATCTATAGGTGTAAATATTGTGGGACACGTCGCACTTAGGATCATTTTTGAAATTTTGCTAGGATTGTCATTCATCGGGACAATGATATTAGGTCAATAGGATTGAGACTTTAATCAATAGGACTGAGACTTCACTTGGTGCTATTATTCGACATTTAGATTGAGATTTTTTTTTGGTCAATGAAAAACTTTATTTCATCTCCAAATATGAAGTTATTTACACATCTAGATTCTCAGCACAAGGTAACTGAGATCTCAAACAAATTTACAGGAACACAAACAAACAAACAAACAATCAGACCTTATACGGAGATAGGGGACTGTTAAGTATAATGGTTGAAATTTCAAATTTAATAACTTCAACTAAGTGATCAGTGTTGCTAGCTTTCTGAGTGAAGAGCCTAGCATTTCGCTCTCGCCAAATGATGTAGACTGTGGTCATCAAAGCTAATCTTCTGAGTTTAGCCTGATATCCTTTGCCTCTCGATCTTGTGAACCAATCCATCAGTTGACACCAGCTACATGATTTCCATTTGAACTCCAACCATTCCATAACACAGTTCCAAACATAGCAGGAGAAGGTACATTCGAAGAACAAATGATCCCTAGATTCCATGCTAGCACTTGAGCATAAACAACATAAATTTGCATTAATGATACCTCTCTTCAGTAGTCTATCCTATGTTAGAAGCCTATCCTGGATAGCCAACCAACTGATAAATGAATGCTTCGGGACATTTAGGCTCCCCCAAACTATTTTATGTCATGCCACATTGTTTGTTGCAGGGGAGAGAGCTTTATACAAGACTGAGAGCTTTAACTTTGAGTTTGAGTAGCAAGACCTGATCAGATTCTTCAAACTTTCAACTCCTCCAAATTCAGCCAATGCCTTATCTCTTATTTTAATCAACTGCTTCCACATCTAAGAATCACCTGGTTTAGCATTAACTTGCCAAATATCTCTATGCTTGAGATAGTTCCCATGGATCCACTTGATCCACAATGATTCTTTATTAGTATATATAAACCACATACTCCTTAATGCAGATGCAAAGTTTCATGTTTGAGCTGAAAAAACTCCTAAACCACCTTGTTTGATCCCTAAACACACCTTCTCCTAAGATACAAGAGGAATCCTAGGAGAGTTATCAGCTTTACCCCACAGAAAATTCGTGCACCTCATCTAATTGTGCAGCACCTTGACAGGTAGTATGTAGTTTGATGTCCAATAGATTAGCACACCCAGAATTACACTTTTGATTACTTGTAATCTGCTAGCATATGACAATTTCCTGTGTTTTGCCTAGTTATGTAACTGCCATGAGATTTTAACAACCAAAGGACTGCAGTTTGTGTAGGAGAGTCTTTTAGTAATAAGAGGAACTCCAAGGTATTTAATTGGCATAGTTCCCTCTGAGAAATGTGTAGGAGAGTCTTTTAGTAATAAGAGGAACTCCAAGGTATTTAATTGGCATAGTTCCCTCTGAGAAACCAAGAATACCATATATGGATGCTTTAACGAACTCCAAGGTATTTAATTGGCATAGTTCCCTCTGAGAAACCAAGAATACCATATATGGATGCTTTAAATGAATCTTCCACTCCTCCATATAAGATGAAACATTTATCAGGATTTGCTTCTAAACCTGAAACTTCACTAAACAACCTGACACACTGATACATCTTACGCACAGAATAAACTTCTCCTTTAGCAAATAACAACAAATCATCCATGAATATAAGAAAAGTAATTGGAGAATTTTGCATTTAGGATGAAATTTAAAAGACCTATCATTCTTTAAAGAGGCCATACTCCTTGAGAGATATTCCATACCCAAAATGAAAAGATAGGGAGAGAGTGGGTCACCCTGTCTCAAGCCACGCTCACCTTTGAAATACCCATGTAGTGCACCATTTAGGGAGATTGAGTATTTAGAAGAGGTAATGCATACCATAATCCATTTTATTAGAACATCAGGGAATCCGAACGCCAAGAGCATATCTTTAATGAAACTCCAACTAATTGTGTCATAGGCTTTCCTAATGTTAATATTCAGCATAACCCTTAGGGAGATGTGTTTTCTGCTATAGCTTTTAACTAATTCATGTGCTAGCATTATGTTGCTTGAAATCTGTCTCCCTTTGACAAAAACACTCTGAGCCTCATTCACTAGAGATCCCATTACAGGTTTTATTCTATTTGCAAGTATCTTTGATATAAACACTCTGAGCCTCATTCACTAGAGATCCCATTACAGGTTTTATTCTATTTGCAAGTATCTTTGATATAAATTTGTATATAACATTGCAGCAAGAGATAGGTTACAGGTTTTATTCTATTTGCAAGTATCTTTGATATAAATTTGTATATAACATTGCAGCAAGAGATAGGCCTGAAGTCTGAGGGGGTTTTAGAGCATTGTACGTTTGGGATAAGGGTAATTGAAGTGGAATTAGCAACCCCCAATATCTTTCCAGTTTTGAAGAAGTCCTCTATGGCCAATGTGACCTCATCTCTAATTATAGGTCATGCAGTTTTGAAAAAAGAAGCACTATAGCTATCAGGCCCTGGTGCTTTATCATCAGCCATGGAGAATACTGCTGCCTTAGTTTCATCCTTAGTCACTGGAATAGAGAGCTCCCTAATTTGAGAGTCATTTAGACAAGAGCCTGATTTTATGATGTTTATGTCGGGCGGGGAAGAGTAAACTGCCGTGCCTATCAGGTTTTTGTAAAAGGACACTAACTCTAACAATTTCATCACCATTAGTAATCCTATTCCCCTCATTATTGTAGAGAACCACCACTCTGTTATCATGCCTGTTTGATTTAGCAATTGCATGAAAAAACTGGTACATCTATCTCCGTGCACACTCCAAGATATTCTAGCTTTTTGCTTATAGAAAGATAGTTCATAGTCTAGAAGGTTGTTGTAGATAGAAAAGCACTCTTTCTCATGGCTAATAAGTGCAGGATTGAGGGGATTAGATTGTAGAGTTCTCTGTGCATCTTCTAAAGCAATTATGGCTCTTTGTACTTGCCCACTGATATTTTTGAAATGCTTCTTGTTAAGATCCTTCAATGCACCCCTCAACAATTTAAGTTTTGTATAAACTAAAAACATTATGAATCCCTGGATTTTAGATTCCCAAATATTGGATACCGTGGGAAGAAACCTATCATGCTTGGTCCACATTTTAAAGAATTTGAATGGCTTTTTTCCTTGTATCTGATCATCATAAACCAATACTATTGTTGGTGAATGGTCTGAGAAACTTGGAAGCAAAAATTCCACATGGCTGGAGTTGAACATATTGATCCATGCATCATTTACCGGTGCTTTATCAAGTCTACTCCAGACCCTAGTGCTTGCATCTTGCTTATTATTCCAGGTGTAAAAACATCCTTGTGTTTTCAAGTGATTAAGAGAGCAATCTTCAATCGACTTTCTAAATTCTCTAGTGTCAGCCTCAGTAAGATTTGTACCTCCCAATTTCTTTTTATTACTTATCATGGTATTAAAATTCCCACATAGGAGCCATGGTATATTACCAATGTTTTGAAGAATGCTATTAAGATCAGACCATAACTCTTTTCTAGCTTCCATTTGGTTGAAACCATAAATGGTAGAGATAACACAGTCTAACCTACCATCTAAGGACTTGACTAAACAAGTAGCATGCTGATCTGATTTTTTAATAACCTGAATATCAAAAATACAAGAATCCCACATGATAAGGATCCTGGTTTTCTCAGGAACCCTAACATTTGATATCCATTCCTAGTTGCTAGCTATTTTCTTGCTAATAATAGGAAGTGAAGATTCCTTAATTTTGGTTTCTAGGAGAGCTAAGAAGGATAGATGATATTGCATTAAGTAATTCCTTACCAAATGTTGTTTGGAGGATTTATTCAACCCCTCACATTCCAGAATGACAAATTCATTGAAGTAATCCCCCTATCAATTATAGAGGGATCACATGTACTATTGTTCTCATATGAATTGCCTGAGCTAGTTTTCCTAGTTTTACTCGAACATATACCCAGGAATCACCATGTTTGAGTGTTGAACTTGCATCATGTGTATTGGGCTTATATTTTCCTTTTCTCTGTAATTTATAAAGCTTTCCCCTACCTGCAATATTTCCTTTCCTTTTGATTGAGAGTGGAGTACTGAATTGTTTTTCAGGAATATATTTGCATCATCTTTCACCTTATCCAGAACAGATAAAACAAGCTGATGCACAAAATTTTCTTGTCTCAAGCCCTCATTTCCTTTTGGAAGTACCCTCCCCCCTCCTGAACATGCACAACATGCACATGATGTACAAATTGCTGAACTATATCATTATGTGTTATAGCTTCATTCTTCTTAGACTGGGCCACATCCTCCTGAATGTGCACAACATGCACATCAGTGGTATCAGCATTCAGAATTGACATGCCAGTTGCTCCTGTATTAACAAGCTTCACAGTTTTTTTAGGAAGTTTTTTTAGGAATCCATCTCTGTATTCCAGCCTTCCTCCTGCAAAATTTTGTTTCATGACCAACTATTTTACATGTGTCACACCATCTAGGCTTTAATTCATAATACACATTCTGAAGAAACTTCTTGCCATTTGGTCCATGTATATAAATTTCATCAGGAAGTGAAGAGGGCATGTTGACTTCAACTAGCACCCTTGCATATGCTAGCCTTTGTCTAATAGTTGTTAGCTTATCAGTATCAATAGTATTGCCTATAATGCTGGTAATTTTACTAACACTCTTTGCATTTCACAAATTAAGCTTCAAGCCTGGTAAGTGAATCCACACAGGATACACACAATCATCCATCTTTTCTAAATCTTCATCTATAGTCCAAGGCTTCAAAAGGATAGGCCTAGATCCAAAAAACCAAGGCCCGTTCTCCAAGATGCTCCTCATATCATCCATGTTTTTAAACTTAAACAGAAAAAGACCAGGTTTGAGAAGACATACTTCAGGAATTGCCAAACTCCCCCAAACTTTTAGAACATAAGATTCCATTGCCTTGAATTTTGCATTTAATGCCAAAACATGTCTAATAAGAGAAGATTTCTGTAGGCTGTCTAAAAATTATAATAGATAGTTGATTCCCCATCAAACACCGATGATGGAAGTTATAATCTGACGACTTCCAGAAGGCTACAATTTGAAGACTTTCATGTAGACTGATGAAGGGTATAATCTGACGACCTTCGTAATAACTGATGAAAGCTCTAATCAACAGCCTTCATAATCAACATCGAGAGTTACAATCTGACGACTCTCACATATCAAAGAGCTAAAGCAAAGATTACAAAACGACGATCTTTGCAACGTTCTGACAGAAAGAGACTACAAATCGACGGGCTCTTCAAACCAAGACGTGGAAGTCCTCCCCGCACACCAGCATTAAGACGCATCACGTTCATAGCCACGAACGTTGCTCAACGCAGCTCCAAGCGCTGTCCAACGCAGCTCTATACCGTTGCCCAACGTAGCTCTATACTGTTGCTCAACGCAGCTCCAACCGCTGCCCAACGCAGCTCTATACCGCTGCCCAACGCAGCTCTATACCGCTGCCAGACGCAACTCTATACCGCTACCAAACGCAGCTTCCAAGCCGCCAAACGCAGCTTCCAACAAGATGCCAACGTAGTTTCCAGCCGCTGCGTCCGAGCTTTCAGACACTGCGTTCAAGCTTCCAAACACTGCGTTTGAACGCAGAATTCGCATCAGAACATGGATTTTGCGTTTGACTCGTTCAAACACGAGCTGAACAGTTTCAAAACCGTTTCCCACGATCTGAGGGGATCACAACTCCACTCAGGAGTGATTTAAGGGGTGGTTACATCCCATTAGCCCCACTTAGGAGCGAATTAAGAATGTGGTTACACACCTTAATCCCCTATAAATAACTAAAAATCAATTCAGTTCAAGGGTCGGTCTGTTGGGACTCCTTGGCAGCAGGGGCTTCGGTTCTGATCCTTCGGTTAGAACTTCTTGGCAGCGAAAAGATGATCCTTCATCCTTCGGTTGAAGCTTTGGAGATCATCAATAAGATCTTCTTCATCCTTGGCTTTGGAGATCAGCAGTAAGATCCTCTTTTTTTAATCAGGAAATCCAATTGTAACTGAGATTAAAGGAATACAGATTAATTTTCCTTCGTTTCTTTTTACTGCAAATTTTCCCACAAACAAAAGATGGCGACTCCGCTGGGGACTAGCTTCTCTGACGAAGAAGTGGTGGCGCAATTCAATGTTCACCTCACTGGAACAACCGTCGAAACTCTCGTGGTAGAGTTTGATCAAGCCAAGTTTGAGGAGGCCCTCTCCTCCGGATCCCTTAGCCCCAAGGCTATGCGCAAGATCCACAAAGTCTCCAAAGAGACTAAAGCTCCAACTGTTGCTCCTATGCCGAAGAAAGACCTCTACTTTGGGCCAGATTGCTTGGACAGCCCCTCCTCCGATGGAGTGGGCTCAGCTTCAGCCAAACCCGCGCCAAGACGACGGGTATCGGGTCGAAAGATGTCCATTGAGGCGACAAAGGCCTTGAAGCAGGCTAAGAAGAATGCCGCTCGACGCAGGAGGAGATCCCTGCGACGAGCACATCTTCGAGAATATTGATCCTCAAGTCAACACGAGCTTCGTGTTTGTGAGCCTAAACGTGACCCTATGCCCTGCGTTTCTATTTCAGAATGCAAGTATTGCGTCTATGAGCCCAAACATAGGCTCTGTGTGAAGAAGACTGAGCGCAACCCTCTGCGTAGCACGACTAGATTGAGGGGCGGATGTCAGAAGTCTTTGGATTCAAGGCGTCTCAACCATATCCATGCTCACCAGGAGCCAGTCCCGTCCAATCATGGACTGGGGGTTCCAATTCAAATCTCACGATCAGTGAGTAATTCTTCTCGAGTCTTTGCGAAAGATTTGAGAGAGTTCATATCGAGAGAAAGACTGATGCAACAAATCATTCGTTCATTCCAATGTGAACGACTGATTCCTACGGTCCTCTCGGGATGTCAATGCTGCTCATATGCGGCCAAACTGTTGGTGTTCGACCAATTTACGAACGTTGCTTTGCCCAACCAATGACGACGTTCTCACATGAAGAAGTCTCCATAGACCGAGTATCCTGGGGTCACTATCAATGTGATCGGCAGAGGGAAAGCCTCAGGTCCTAGTTCCGATAACTCTGAGACAAGTCGTTCACCGACCGTCAGAGAAATCGCTAACGAGTTTGAAGGAGTCTACCAACGCACTCGGACGCGAACAGGAGCCATTCCCCCTATCAACTATCGGAGGTTAGCCATAAAAACTAATTCCGATGATGAACACTCAGCCATTGCGGAGTCTCAATCATCAAGCTCTTTCATTGGGCATGAGAGCTTCACCCACATGGCAGAACATTCTGAAGATCTTTCAAAGAGGGTTGCTGATCAAGACGTCATGCTCAAATCTCAGCAGAAGGCCATTAATGAACTCATGGCCCTGTTGAATCAACTCATCGCAGACAAAGTTAAATATCAGAAGACAGATTCGCCAACTAGGCAAGAATCCTCCCGGAGAGGAAAAACGTCTTCATCCCGACCTCACACAAGCAAAGGGAAGGGAAAAATGGTTGATGATACGGCTTCTGACCAAGAAGCCCACAACCTAGAATCTTCCTCTGATGAAGGAAGAGAGACTGAGAACGAACAGAATATCCAGTCTGCCAAAATGGAAGAATTGGAAGCCCGCCTCAATGCCATGGCCAACAGAAGCGAGCTCCAAGAAGAGGGAGTTGTCAGACCCTATCCTGCCGAATGGGATGCAGCCCCTTATCCTCCAAAATTTGAGGTACCGACGCTACAAACTTTTAACGGCACGGGTTCACCGAACCAACATATCTATCACTTCAAGTCACAGACTGGGAATGTGATATCAAACGACGCCATACTGGCTCGATTATTCAAAGGCAATCATTGGCACCCTCAAGGGAGTTGCCTTTGAATGGTTTAGAAAATTACATGCCGGATGTATCCAAAAGTGGACGGATTTAGAGAGACTTTTCCTATCAAGATTCTTTGAAGATGATACAGAAGTTCCATTCATACCATTCTCGCCACTAAGCAGAAGAAGAGGGAGTCTGTCAAAGTCTTCGTCAAAAGGTTTTGAAACATGGCTCTATGATGTCCGACAGGTATGACACAGTCTACCCTAGTGGAGACCTGTCGACATAATTTACAAACCGACCTCCTAGCCCGAATAGGGGTTGCAGAATGTCGTTCCTAGAGACAACTAATCTCTCAAGGCGAACAGGCTCAAAAGATTATTACCAGGATCAAACCTGAAGAACAAAGTAGGCAGGATCAACCTGAGCAATCAGACCAAGCCCAACCTTCACCTGAGCAATCGGACCAAGCCCAATCTTCTCAGTCAGAAGAAGATACCACGACTATTGAAGCTAATCCTCCTCAATAGAGCACAAATGAGGGTTACAGAATGCCGTTCCTGGAGACAACTAATTTCTCAAGGCGAACAGGCTCAAAAGATTATTGCCAGGATCAAAGCTGAAGAACAAAGTGGGCAAGATCAGCCCGAGCAATCGGACAAAGCCCAATCTTCTCCTGAGCAATCGGACCAAGCCCAATCTTCTCAGTCAGAAGAGGAAGATACCACGACTATTGAAGCTAATCCTCCTCAATAGGATGGCGAATCTACCAAATCTATCACGTTAACAGTTACCTCTGATAGTCTATCAATCTGCCAATCCTCTTCAATAGGATGACAGGTCCATAAATCTATCACGTTAACAGTTACCTCTGATAGTCCATCAATCTGCTAATCCGCTTCAATAGGATGGCGAGTCTACCAAAACTATCACGTTAACCGTCACCTCTGATAGTCTTTTTCCTCCAAATTCCCCCACTAATCCTCTTCAAGTAGGATGACGGGTCCACCAAAACTATCACGTTAACCGTCACCTCTGATAGTCCTTTTCCTCCAAATTCCCCCACCAATCCTCTTCAAGAAGGATGGCGGGTCCACCAAAACTATCACGTTAACCATCACCTCTGATAGTCATTTTCCTCCATATTCCTCCACCAATCCTCTTCAAGTAGGATGGCGGGTCCACAAAACTATCACGTTAACAGTTACATCTGATAGTCAAACTCATCAGATAATGGCCTACCAGGTGATGTGCCTCTATTCCGACTTCATGGATAGTGCCTCACTAGGTGATGTGCCTTGTCTACCTCTTTTTATTCCCCTGCTAAGTCTTAATCAAGACTGGGGGTTGGTTACTTGGAATCCATTGGATTAAGAGTAATAAATCTTTCACATCGTCAAGTTAACATTACACTTCTGACGATCATCACCCCACAGAGTATGAATGCAGCTTGCATCGCTCCTAATTTGTCACGTTAACAATATACCTCTGACAATCAACTTATCAATCCTCTTCAATAGGATGATAGGTCCTCAAAATTGCTCAAATCGCAATCTTCCCCAGCAAGATACTAAGTCTTAAAAATCTTAGTATCAAAATTCATCGCTTCTGATGATAAACCCACTTAGCAATTCTTCCCAGCGAGACGCTAGTCTTCAAAATCTTGTTCAAATCACAAGTACACAATCCTGTCACGTTAATATCACACCTCTGACAACCGATTCACTTATCAATCCTCTTCAATAGGATGATAAGTCCACAAAGTTACCCTGATCGCAACAAATTTTTGTCATGTTAACACCAAACCTCTGACAATCCACTTATAAATCCTCGTCAATAGGATGATAAGTCCACAAAGTTGTCACGTTAACATCATACCTCTAACAACCCACTTATCAATCCTCGTCAATAGGATGATAAGTCCACAAAGTTGCCCTGATCACAACAAATTTTTGTCATGTTAACACCAAACCTCTGACAATCCACTTATCAATCCTCGTCAATAGGATGGTAAGTCCACAAAGTTGTCACATTAACATCATACCTCTGACAACCCACTTATCAATCCTCGTCAATAGGATGATAAGTCCACAAAGTTGCTCTCATCGCAACACAAATTCCTGTCATGTTAATATCACACCTCTGACAAAATCAACTTATTAATCCTCTTCAATAGGATGATAAGTCCACAAAGTTGCTCCGATCGTAACATTCTCTTGTCACGTTAATATCAAACACCTCTGACAAAATCAACTTATCGACTCTCGTCAATAGAGCGATAGGTCCTCAAAGTTGCTTCGATCGCAATACTTTTCACTTATCGACTCTCGTCAATGGAGCGATAGGTCCATAAAAATACTGTTAGGTTAACATCACACCTCTAACAGTCAAACCCCCCAATGAACTTGTTAATCCTTTTTCAACAAGAATAGCAAGTTGTCATTATAAAATCCCCAACGGATTAAATATTTTCTAGAAATCCTAGTGATAATAAAGAAAATTTCTGAATTTCACTCTAAGTGAAAATTCATGCCAAGTTAATATTACACCTCTGGCGCTTCCAACTTTCTTTCAGTGTTTCAAGTAACACAGGAAGAAATAACAACAAAGTCTACGTATTCAACATCGTAGCACCAAAATCCATGCCTTTTACGCATGGGGGACTTTATCTCGATCCCTAATTAGAGATAAGCCTACGCCTAACACGCGTTGCCGGTTAGTCGTTTCCCGTGAAAATGACAAAGTCTATGTATTCAAAATCATAGCATCAAGTCTAAGAGGGTTCATTCTCTTAGCACAACGTTACATGTGGAACGGACTTAGACAATCCACATGCTAGCCCGACTCAAACGGTAGTCGGTAAAGGCTTATCAAATCCGTTGATGGCTGAGGATTTGCCAAAAATCATATGCACGTTTGTAGGTCCATCAGCTTAATGGATGTGAGTCGAGACTTAAAACAAATGAGCTAAAGACAAGTCTCAAAGACTTAGTCAAAAATGCACGGAAGCCACTTCCATGTCTTAAGTCAAAACGTTAAGGTCAGACCCGCGATGCAAAAACCGAACGCCGAGGTCACACCCGTGTTCCAAATTCAACATGCAAGGGTGAGACCCGCATCTCAAGTTCAAAATGCAGGGTTCACCCCCACATTCCAGAAGCAAGATTATGGCACATACCTTCACACGGGTCCTACGTGGCAAATCACTTCAACCAAGATGCCTTCGAAGCAAGTGCAGAGAACAAATCCTTTACAACAAGGAATCAGCAGCTCCAAGATCAGAGTTGAGATCCAAAGTATTCCGAAAATTCGTCCCAGTCAACCGCGAACTTTCGAAAACTTTGGAGGGGGTTCTGTAGGCTGTCTAAAAATTATAATAGATAGCTGATTCCCCATCAAACACCGATGATGGAAGTTACAATCTGATGACTTCCAAAAGGCTACAATTTGAAGACTTTCATGTAGACTGATGAATGGTACAATCTGACGACCTTCGCAATAACTGATAAAAGTTCTAATCAACAGCCTTCACAATCAACATCGAGAGTTACAATCTGACGACTCTCACATATCAAAGAGATAAAGCAAAGATTACAAAACGACGATCTTTGCAACGTTCTGACATAAAGAGACTACAAATCGACGGTCTCTTCAAACCAAGACGTGGAAGTCCTCCCCGCACACCAGCATCAAGACGCATCGCGTTCATAGCCACGAACGTTGCTCAAGGCAGCTCCAAGCGCTGTCCAACGCAGCTCTATACCGCTGCCCAACGCAGCTCTATACCGCTGCCCAACGCAGCTTTATACCGCTGCCCAACGCAGCTCTATACCGCTGCCAGACGCAACTCTATACCGCTACCAAACGCAGCTTCCAAGCCGCCAAACGCAGCTTCCAACAAGATGCCAATGCAGTTTCTAGCCGCTGCGTCCGAGCTTTCAGACACTGCGTTCAAACTTCCAAACACTGCGTTTGAACGCAGAATTCGCATTAGAACATGGATTTTGCGTTTGACTCGTTCAAACATGAGCTGAACGGTTTTAAAACCGTTTCCCACGATCTAAGGGGATCACAACTCTACTCAGGAGTGATTTAAGGGGTGGTTACATCCCATTAGCCCCACTTAGGAGCGAATTAAGGAGGTGGTTACACCCCTTAATCCCCCATAAATAACTAAAAATCAATTCAGTTCAATGGTCGGTCTGTTGGGACTCCTTGGCAGCAGGGGCTTCGGTTCTGATCCTTCGGTTGGAACTTCTTGGCAGCGAAAAGATGATCCTTCATCCTTCGGTTGAAGCTTTGGAGATCAGCAATAAGATCTTCTTCATCCTTGGCTTATAGACCGATTTTGGTTAAATCAACTCTTTCATAGAGTTTCAAACTCATTCAGAGTTCTCCACAACGTCAAATCGTGAGGAGAAGACCATGTTCCAGTGAATCAAGACGTCGGATCGTCAACGAGAAGCAAACTCGACGCGAGCATTCGAGGGAGGCATCTCATCGCCACCGTGAAGAACCCAGAATTAAACAAAGGGGAGAATCAAATTCATTCTCCTCTCTTTTATAATCAGTAAATCCAATTATAACTGAGATTAAAGGAATACAGATCAATTTTCCTTCGTTTCTTTTTACTGCAAATTTTCCCACAAACAATTTCCATATAGTGCTTCCTTCATTCCATTCATCCTCATCAAATGTTACTGAATTTGCTACATCAGGTTTTACATAGTTCAAACTAAATCCACTACCAGGTTTCCTGTTATCAGTGAATAAACTCACCCAAGTTTTCTTCGTGTTGATAACAGGATCTGGAAGAGGCACATCTTTTGAAGAATCAAGAGGAGGAAAATCAAACTTATTACTATCAAGAAATCTAGTATTTGAGTTATTTTTAACTAAATTCTCAACAGATTTTACCATATTAGAGGAATTTCCCGCCGGAGCCAATGGAACAGTACTTGATTCCAGAATCAAAACAACATCCGGAATAATTGAAGAAACAGAATCAAAGTTCTTATTAGAAATATTAGAACGATGTTTTGATGAGAGATTTAATATTGATTCATTCTCCAATTCAAGATCATCCGCCCAAGAAATTCTTGATGAACTACCATCACCAATTCCAGAGTTTGAAGACTTACAGAGGTGGCGTGATCGAACTTCGATCAACTCAGGAGTTATCTGAGATAGAAGAGAATCCACCAAGAATTTGTTAGATCTAAGTATATCCGTCATTGACACCTTCATCTTCTCTCATTTGGGTCTAGTAGATCCCATTAGATCCGAGAAGAATCCATCATCTTCAACATCAGAGTGATCTTCAGGAGGAATTGAGCTCGAATTAGAAGCTCTTAATCCAATTTCCAGGATTTTCTTTCCATTTTTTTCTCACCATTTTTTACAAGGCGAGGGCGCAAGTTAGCAGGGAAAAAATCGCCCGCTAACGTGTACCAAGAAGACAACCGCCAAAAGAACTAATAATTAGACTTTTGATTCAAAGAAGAAACAAAACAAAATATGAGCCATTTTAGATTGAGATTTTACTTTATGGTGTTTTTTTTTAAAATATGATTAGGGCAACCAACTTGTCACAAAATGCAATTCTCCCGCTTCTGCATAATTTTTAGCCCCAACCCTAAAAATTTGCCTCATCCTTCGTGTTAGAAACTTTTTTTCCCTCATATCCCACTTTGAGCGGAAGTGATATAGTTTTTAGGTATTTATTTTCTAAATATATTAGTGATAATTATAATAATATATTATTGCTAAAAGTTATATTAAATTAAATTGTATTATTAAATATCATCATTATTACATTATTCACTAATATTTAATTTATTTTAGTGTTATTATAATATTAGTTATATTACTATAACATTACTTTATATTACTTAATTATATTACTTAATATAACAATATTATTATAGTATTCCTACGATATGTAATATGTTATATTATAATTTAATATTTATATTTAATATAATAAAATTTTGATTCTATTATAACTTAATTATTATATAATTAATAATATTCAATATATTGATAATATTATTGTTTTTATTATATTATAATATTATAATAATAAAATATTAATAATGTACTTCATAGAAAAATATATATAATATATGAAACTAATTTTGATATAATATCAATTAATAATATTGAATGTATTGTGATGTATTATGGTAATTGTAATACAATGTTATTATATTGTATACATTACTATATTATATTATGCATAATTATATTATGTTATAATATATAGTAATATAATATTTTAAAATATGATGTTATATCATATAATATAATTGTTGATGCTCGTGAACAAACAGTCGATGGGGGTTGCAGAGTTGCTGGATCATCGAGAGGGATGGAGGGCCGCTTTCCTTCTTCGACTTTATGTCTGGTTCTCAAAGCTCGGATGTGGGTGGATCACATGCACACACAAGAATCGCAGGAGTACGGGGCCTGTTTTCCCTGTGGTACCTCCAACGATCAAGTCAGCTGGTGTACTTGGTCCGGTAATAGAGGAATAGTATCCTCTTCTTATATGTAACTAGAGAATTTTTTTTAGGTAGTGATGGAGAGACCGAACCTCCTCTCAGGATGAATAGCGTTTGTATTTATAGAGGATGCCAATGGCAGAACATGTATTTAGTGAGGAGGCGGCTCATGATGACGGTGAGAGGTGAGCTGGAGGCTGAATCATCCTCTGCCCTTCGTGTCAATTGATGGGTGATGGCGGGTCACTTCAGAGATATGGGGAATCAGCAACCGTTGAGGCTTGTCTGCGGGTGACGTGGAGTCGCTTCTGTGGCATGGGGAATCAAGGCTTGTCTGCGAGTGACGTGGAGTCGTAATGATGACCATAAATGGTAAAATAATGCTAGGAAGTAATGTTCTAATTCGCCTTCAGGGGGAGTGTCGGCCTGTTGCTGAGCAGCAATTTTTCGCCCGACTGAGTCCGCATTTCGAGTCGTCTTTGGGGAGCGATGCCGGCTCGACTAGGTCCATTCTTGGGATAACATATTTGTAAGTAACAGGGAACACTCCATAACAATAATAATATATTATGTATAAAACCATTATATAATATATGCAATTATTTTACAAGATAATGTAATACAATATATATTATATAATATTATTGAATATTATATGAAATACATTGTTATCATATTATGTTAATTATTATATAATATAATAATAATTATTTTATAACATATTATATTAATTAATAGAATTAAACTTATTTATAATAAATTATGAGAATTATACTACAATGTATCTTGTTTTATTATATTAATGAATTAATGTCTTGTTACATAATATGTTAAATAATTTAATAAATAAATTAGATGTGTTAATTAGACTTAATTGGTAAATAAATATTATATTCTAATAAAGTATTTGTCATCAACTATCCTACTTAAATTATTCTAGTAAATGTTTCAAACTGACTCATTATGCCAATATATCCCTCTTTAACTTCGATTCCACCGAGGTCTGACGGTCTCTGTATTTATCCTATTCAATTTATTCCAATAGAGTAAAATTTCTAGTAAATGTTTCAAACTGACTCATTATGCCAATATATCCTTCTTTATCCTATTCAAATTATTCCAATAGAGTAAAATTACCTTATTGGGATAGTTGTCCCACTTAGCCTCGCAATGAATAAACCCCTCAATGCTTAAAGTGGAAAAACCCCCTTACCAAGTGCTTATTAAATCTTGCTAGCGGTTTCTAGAATTTTTTTAAGCAATCTCTTTTCTTTTATATCTGTCATAGTTTGATTTGTGAGCACATGGACCTTTTTAAGTTTTATTCTTGGGTAAATTTCACAAAACCCCCTGAACTCTGTGGAATTTTGAAAAAAAGTCATATGGGACTATTTCACACCAAAACCCTCTTAAATTTTAAATATCTTATGAAAACAAAGTTTGCTCACTACAGATGTGTAAATGTGTTAGAGATTTTATGAAGATTAATCTACGAAATTAAATGCTAAACGAAATATGACGCCAATGAAAATCCCACAAGAAAGCAAACACCAATATTTAACGTGGTTCGGCAAATCATGCCTACGTCCATGGGACAATTCACAGACAAATATTTCACTATGAATCAAGAATACAATCCCTCTAAGTTACACCTGAACTTGAGGATTAAATCACAAGAGAAAGATACAATGTTACCTTGTTGATGCTCAATATCAAACAGAATAATCCAGAAGAGGATGGTTGCGAGGTGATGAAGGATGATGGAGGGTCCGCTCTCTTCTTTGACTTTATTCCTGGTTCTTGAATGAGGGCTTGATGTCCACGCTGCACAGACAAGAAGAAGAGGGCGGGGACCGCTTCCCTCGTGGTTCCTCCGACGGTCAAGTTAGTGAAACTCGAGTGGGGAAGGGGAAGGTTAAGAACCATGTGGTTCTTAAGGTGGCAATGTCTCTGCCCAGAGGATCTACATGAGCTCCTCTGTCTAGACGAAGAACTGTATATTCTTGTTTTTGTGCCATGTATGCTTTAGGGGATTTTTAGATTGCGAACCTTGGCGCTATGGCGAATAGCATTTTTTATATAAAGAGGATGTCCATGGAAGATTGGTCACTTCGACTATGCAAATAGCGGTAACAAAATGTGAGCTGAAAGGTGAGTCATCCTTTGCTCTACATGTGTTGACTGACGACTGGATGGGAAGTCACTTCGTCATGGGAGAGGGTGTCTTCGTATTTTATGAGAAGTGATTGATAGCGTGACAGAAGGCACGTGAGCATACTGAATCATCCATCGCTTTACAGATATCGGCTGGCGACTGGAGAGGAAGTCACTTCGGCATAAGAGAGGGTGTCTTCGTATTTTTCAGGAAGTGATTGAGCTGACAAGTCATGGAGACCTATCAGGCCAAAATCTAGATAATGCTTGTTCGAGGTGGATTAAGATATCGACATATGCTCTGGGATAAAGGCTTGAGGCTGGGGTCGAGTTCTCAACTTAATTGGTAGCGGGGAATGTCCCTCCAGTCGTTTCTGAGAAATGCCCAGTGGGTGGTCGAGTGCCCTAAGTAGGGTCATCCTCGATGATAGGGTCGACCGACACCGCCTTTCACATCAACCCACGAGTTTCGGCCTATCCGACTGGTTAGAATGTCGTCTCATCTCAGCTAATAACCGTCTCTCGAGTCGATATAGAGATGTTGACTCGCCTGGGAGGTCAGGATCTCTCGTGCCAACCAATATCGCCTCTGGTGTCGACACTAGCGAGTTGGCTTGATGAGTCGGTGGGGCCAAGACCTCTGTGATTGTGCCTTGGGTTTATCCCTGATAAGGTACTAAGGTCTTGTAATTAGCCATGATGGTTGAGTTGCACTGGAGGATTTGATCATATGTTGTGCCTTGGGCTTACCTTGATAAAGAGCCAAGGACTTGTAATTCGACTGAGGAGTCGAATGCCTAGAACTCTTGAGAGTTGACTAGGGCTTTCCTTCCCCTAAGACCGAGAGACGATTGTGGTTGTCGGCCAAAGGGTTGAGTTTGTTTTGCTAGGACTCTTATCATATCATATTGCAAATATCTGTATTTTGGGTGAGTGAACACCATAACATACCTCTAGGGCACCAAAACCCTAAAGCCCGTCTCACCAAAAATCTCCAACACCCACGGAGAAACCAACACTGTACCTTGGCGTCGTCGTTCTGAAGACAACGGCTTTTGAATCACTGTAATCGGACAACCAGACTATTCGGAATCTGAACTTTTCTCTCTCGGGTTACTATTCATGGTTTACTGTAGCACTAAAAAATTACAGGTTTTTCATGAATAGAATTCCTTTATAAAGGAATTTTATTGTCAGATCCTCCAAACATATTCCTATTACAACTAGATCCTCCAAATTCTCTTGTAGATAGAATTTTAATTTATGTGGAGCTCATGTGGGTCTTATTTTAGGCTAGACCCACAACAAAATGGTGAGGTTCAAAGATCAAACTACATTGTACCTTTGATTGACGATATCTTTCAATTCTCTCCATAGAGTCATTGTTTGAGTACGTTTTCAGAGAATTCAGAGAGTGCTCTACGCATTGAACCACTTCACCAATCCAAAAGAGATTAGGGGTCATACGAATTCGTCTTCAGACTTAATCTGTACGTCAAAGAAATTTAGTTTCTTTTATTTCACATATTAGCTCTTTATTTCTAGGAGGCTAGTTTAGTAATTTTGCAATTATTTTAT